AGGAGGAATTCAAGACAGAATGTAAAGGGTCTCACAGTACTGCTTGGGCACAATTAACATTTACAGATATTCCCTATAAGATAGAAAATCCTCACTATTTAAGTTTAAAAATAAGTCAGCAGTAGCAAATCCTGTATTTCTGTACTGATCGATCTCTACACAGTGGCTATGAAGCACTGTTTGTTGATTATTGTAGTAGTGTAAGGTAACACGAGGTATTTTTACGAAAGAATCATTAAAGTTGGAAACGGTCTTTAGGTGGATCAGCAACACCATGTGGCAGCAGCAAGCAGAATGAACAATATAAAATAACTCAACAGACCTGACTCTGCACAAATAGAACTCCCTGGTGACTTTGTATCTTCCTAATGCTTTATTAAAGTTGCAATTGACGTAACGTCCTTTGACCTGATTATTTTAGCCAGCAAGAGTTGGGCTGGCAAGTGTTTAGAACCCAGCAGGAGCTCTCCTCACACATTACATAATATTCCATCTGTGGTCAGGTCAGTGTAATCGCAGCATGCTAGTACGGCGCTGTATTTTTATAAGCCAATCATGAAACATTTACCAACCCTGTGTGCTGCTTGCCGAGGGAGGAGAGTTTGGTAGCGAGTGCCATCCGCTGACTGAAATTGCATAATGCAAGGGGGTCCTTGCAAATCCAAGGCTAGACCCTAACTTATAAACCAGTTCACCAAATGAGAGATCTGCACAATGCTAGGCACCTGCAGGACTGCAATGCCAGCAATTATTCTGAGAATTATTGCCATGAAATGTGTGACGGGCCACAAGAGGCCAGTTAAGCTTCCATTGCAATCTGCAGCTGCAGTTTTAGTTGCATGAAATTGTCTTTGCTGAATGCTCACAAGATGTCATTTTGATGTCATGGGTACTTTTTATTAACTTATGCCTAGGAATTATTCCATTTAAAGACAGGCTCAGGTTGTAGCAGGGATTCATACCCACCCAGTTTTCTTGGCTCAAAATGGAAAGGACAACAGCTGTGTCTGTTGTCTGGAGGTCACATTTGTCTCACTCGCAACTTGCTAGATGTCTCTTGAAGATGTTCGACCAATTAATGTTTTTATTAAACAAAAAAAAAAAACAAATATGTCTATATACTCCACACTATAAACCCAAGTGCTAAACTCAAAACTATAAATCCCAAAAAACAAACAGTCCAATGACCAAAATAAACAGTTTTTAAAAAATTAATCGTGTATAGTCACTCAAAAAAAATATAGTAATAATAAAGTCACTTCAACAAAATAAGTGTCCAAAATCCATCTTGTCACATTCTTTTGGTGCTGAGCCCCTCCACTGGCTCACAGAAGACAGAAAATACCTCAAAAGAAAGAAACCACTACATAGTGTATTACCTGAAATAAATCACAAAAAAGTATCATACCTTCGCCAAAAAATGTGCAAAAATTCAAAGTAGTGCAAAAATAGTGAACACTGCAATGTGAATAGTAGTGTGTCACTCTGTGAGTACAGCAAAAAAACAAGTGACCACAACAGTGTATACTTCTATAGTGAAAAAGCATATATACTCTTACCAGAACAAAAAAGTAAAAATGCCTTATTCATATATTAGGAATCATCAGCATACTTTCACTCCTTTCCTCCACTCCTGAAGTATACCTCTTAGGATGTCATATCCTCCTGAGCATCCTCATGGTTTAAAACGGACATTCCCAAGCCTCCAGGGTGCTCATGTAAAAGATGTATGAATATATATAGTGTAATATCGTTTTTTATAAGATTATAAATTTATTATAACTGCTTACATTCAAGGTTAAAAAAAAAACGCATATTCCCATGCCTAAAAACCACTCAGGGTTGCCGAGCAGCTTCCTCTCAACTTGCCATGCGGTTTTGCCAACTTCCAAAATGACCGACACGCCACTTACGGTTCCTTTCCTAAGCGTCCGACATCACTTCCCTTGAAGCGTTTCTTCACACACGGGACTTAATCATAAGACACCCCGGAAACGCGTCAAGGGAAGTGACGTCAGACGCACAGGAAAGGAACCAGAAGTGGCGTTTCGGCCATTTTGAAAGTTGGCAAAACCGCATAGCAAGTTGAGAGGAAGCTGCTCGGCAACCCTGAGTGGTTTTTAGGCATGGGAATATGCGTTTTTTTTTTTAACCTTGAATGTAAGCAGTTATAATAAATTTATAATCTTATAAAAAAATGGTATTACACTATATATATTCATACATCTGTTACATGAGCACCCTGGAGTCTTGGGAATGTCCGTTTTAAACCATGAGGATGCTCAGGAGGATATGGTGGATGACATCCCAAGAGGTATACTTCAGGAGTGGAGGAAAGGAGTGAAAGTATGCTGATGATTCCTACTATATGAATAAGGCGTTTTTACTTTTTTGTTCTGGTAACTGTATATATGCTTTTTCACTATAGAAGTATACACTGTTGTGGTCACTTGTTTTTTTGCTGTACTCACAGAGTGACACACTACTATTCACGTTGCACAGTGCTCACTATTTTTGCACTACTTTGAATTTTTGCACATTTTGTTGGCGAAGGTATGATACTTTTTTTGTGATTTATTTCAGGTAATACACTATGTAGTGTTTTCTTTCTTTTGAGGTATTTTCTGTCTTCTATGAGCCAGTGGAGGGGCTCAGCACCAAAAGAATGTGACAAGATGGATTTTGGACACTTATTTTGTTGAAGTGACTTTATTATTATTACTATATTTTTTTGAGTGACTATACACGATTAATTTTTTAAAATGTTTATTTTGGTCATTGGACTGTTTGTTTTTTGGGATTTATAGTTTTGAGTTTAGCACTTGGGTTTATAGTGTGGAGTATATAGACATATTCGTTTTTTTGGTTTTAATGATTTGCACTTTCAAGGATGAAAGTGATTTTTCTAATATGTGAAATTATATTTGGGTAGTTTAGTGGTAGGTGACACCGTACTCATATTTATATTTAAATTAATGTTTTTACACAACAATATATAACTTCTTCCAAAACAACACTGAGAATTTCTTTACGTATTAGCTTTCATTGCAGCATGTCATATGCATTTGCGTGCTTTAGAATTGCCTTTCTTTCCATTGAAATTAATGGTAATGCAAAAGCAGGTCAAGACAGCCTGAAGCATGTCAGAAACGTGTAGATTCATTTAGGGACATTTAAAATAAGTAAAAAATTTGGCCATTTTTGATCTTTCACTAAAGAAGGCGCTACAATTTAGGCCTTTCAAATTTATTTAAATGGCCTCCCCATTGTGTCTAATACCAGGAGTTTCTGTATGTGTGTATGTATATATACACACAAACACACACGCACATACAGCAGGTAAAATAAGTATTGAACACATCACCATTTTTCTTGGTAAATATATTTTTAAAAGGTGCTATTGACTTTCAATTTTCACCACATGTCGGTAACAACCCATGCAATCCATATATACAAAGAAACCAAAACAAGTTCAGAAATTAAGTTATGTGTAATAAAATAGAATGACACAGGGGAAAAAGTATTGAACACGCTGACTGAAATTTATGTAATACTTTGTACAAAATCCTTTGTTGGTAATGACAGCTTCAAGATGCCTTCTGTGTGGAGAGAGTAGTCGCATGCATTGCTCAGATGTGAGTTTGGCCCATTCTTCCACACAAACAGTCTTCAAATCTTGAAGATTCTGTGTGCCTCTTCTATGAACTCTGATCTTTAGTTCTTTCCATAGATTTTCTATTGGATTCAAGTAAGGTTGTTGGCTGGCCCATTCTAGCAGCTTTATTTTCTTTCTTTGCTTTCGCTTGCTGAAATGTCCTCCTTTGTTTCATGTTCATCATCCTGGTAGATGGCAGCAGATTTTTATCAAGCATGTCATGGTACATTTTTCCATTCATCCTTCCTTTAATGGCATGAAGTTGACCAGTACCGTATGCTATAAAAACTACCCCACACCATGATGTTCCCACCTCCATGCTTCACTGTTGGTATGGTGTTTTTGGGGTGATGTGCTGTGCCATTTGACCTCCAAACATGGTGAGTATTATGTCATCCAAAGAGTTCAATTTTGGTCTCCTCTGACCAGACTATATTCTCCCAGAATTTCACAGGTTTGTCTAAATGCCGTGCAGCAAAATTTAAACAAGCTTCAACATGCTTTTTCTCCAGCAATGGAGTCTTGTGTGGTGAGCGTGCATAAGAGGCCATGGCAGTTGAGTGCATTATGTATTGTTTTCTTTGAAACAATTGTACCTGCTAATTCAAGGTCTTTCTGAGGCTCCATAAGTGGTCCTTGGCTGTTGGACAGTGATAATTCTTTTCACTCCTCTGTCAGAAATCTTGCTAGGAGCAGCTGGTCATGGCCAGTTTATGGTGAAATGTTGTTCTTTCCACTTCCAGATTATGGCCCCAACAGTGCTCACTGGAACATTCAGAAATTTAGAAATCCTTATGTAACCAATGCCATTAGTATGTTTTGCAACAGTAAGGTTGTAAAGGTCTTGAGAGAGCTCTTTGCTTTCACCCATCATGAGATGTTTTTTGTGTCTCACCTTGGTAATGAGACATCTTTTTATAGGCCATCAGTTGAGACTGAACCAGCTGATAATAATTTGCACAGACAAGGGACAGGATTGCTTTCTAATTACTTGTATATTTCAGCTGGTGTCTTGGATTTGCACGCCTTTTTGCACCTCCCTTTTTTTCTTCAAGTTTTCAATACTTTTTCCCTGTGTTATTCCATTTTTATTACACATAACTTAATTTCTGAACTTATTTGTTTGGTTTCTTTGTATGTATGGAATGCATGGGTTGTTACCGACGTGGTGAAAATTTCATGTCAATAGCACCTTTAGAAATATATCTATGTAGAAAAATGGTGATGTGTTCAATACTTATTTTACCTGCTGTGTGTATATATGTGGTTATGTGTGTATATATATCCAAATCATTGGATTCAGGTGTTCAAATCCCCTCCATGGCCACAGATGTATAAAATCAAGCACTTAGGCATGCAGACTGCTTCTACAAACATTTGTGAAAGAATGGGTCGCTCTCAGGAGCTCAGTGAATTCAAGTGTGGTACTGTGATAGGTTGCCACCTGTGCAAAAAGTCCATCCGTGACATTTCCTTGCTACTAAATATTCCACGCTCAACTGTTAGTGGTATTATAACAAAGTGGAAGCAACTGGGAACAACAGCAACTCTGCCACAAAGTGGTAGGCCACGTAAAATGACAGAGCGGGATCAGCGCATGCTGAAGTGCGCAGAAGTCGCCAACTGTCTGCAGAGTCAATAGCTAAAGACCTCCAAACTTCACGTGGCCTTTAGGTTAGCACAACAGTGCATAGAGAGCTTCATGGAATGGGTTCCAAGCCTTACATCACCAAGTGCAATGCAAAACGTCGGATGCAGTGGTGTAAAGCACGCCACCACTGCACTCTAGAGCAGTGGAGACATGTCCTCTAGAGCAGGGGTCCTCAAACTACGGCCCGCAGGCCACATGCGGGCCGCCGAGGACATTTATCCAGCCTGCCGGGCAGGGGCGTATCTGCCGCGGTCGGGAGAGCTCGGCAGGGCTCAGGCAGGAGACAGGAGGGTGGGGTCAGCAATTCTAGAACAGGGGAAGGTGGGCTCGGCTCATGAACCTGCACTACTCACCTGGCCTCTCTGCAGCCAGCCAGCCAGCCATCTATTCTGACCATGAAGAGGGGGAGCAAGAGAGGAGACTCCATCGCTGCATGTCGGGTATCACGGCCACGGACCCTAGATAAGTGCAATAGATGATCGATCTCCTCCCTCTCTCTCCTCTCTCTCCCCCCCCCCCCCCCTTTCCCCCCCCCCCCCCCTCTTCCCCCCCCCCCCCCCATCCTTTCCCCCCCTCCTCCTCCTCTCTCTCCCCTCTCTCCCCCCTCCTCTCTCTCCCCCCCCTCCTCTCTCTCCCCCCCCCTCTCCCCCCCCCCCTCTCTCCCCCCCCCTCCTCTCTCTTCCTTTCCCCCTCTTCTCTCTCTCCCCCACTCCCCTCCCCCCCCTCTCTCTCTCCCCCCTCCTTATGTCCCCCCCCCCCCTCTCTTTACATTGTACACAGATCTGACCCAAGAAGGTGTCCTGCATTTACCATATATTTCACTCCTTAAGACACACTTGGGGGGAAATGTCTGTGCGTCTTATGGAGCGGCCGGCCCAGTATTCCCGCCGCCGTTTGAATGTCAGCAGTCTCTGGTCATCTCCTGTACTATGTCCGCAGTCTCTGGTCATCTCCTGTACTATGTCTGCAGTCTCTGGTCATCTCCTGTACTGTGTCCGCATTTGTTCATAGTTTTTTTTTTTTTAAACTATAGTCCAGCCCTCCAACGGTCTGAGGGACTGGCCCCCTGTTTAAAAAGTTTGAGGACCCCTGCTCTAGAGGGACAAATCACGCTTCTTCTCTGTCTGGCAATTTGATGGGTTTGGCAGTTGCCTGAAGAACGGTACTTGCCTGACTTCATTGTGCCAAGTGTAAAGTTTGGTGGAGGGGGGATTATGGTTTGGGGTTTTTTTCAGGGGTTGGGCTTGGCCCCCTAGTTCCAGTGATGGAAACTTTTAAGGCATCAGCATACCAAGACATTTTGGACAATTTCATGCTCCCAACTTTGTGGTAACAGTTTGGGGATGGCCCCTTCCTGTTCCAACATGACCGTGCACCAGTGCACAAAGCAAGGTCCATAAAAAATGAGCGAGTTTGGGGTGCAGGAACTTGACTGGAGTCCTGACCTCAACCTGGTAGAACACCTTTGGGATGAATTAGAGTGGAGACTGCAAGACAGGCCTTCTCGTCCGACATCAGTGCCTGACCTCACAAATGTGTTTCTGGAAGAATGGTCCAACCTTCCCATAGACACCCTCCTAAACCTTGTGGACGGCCTTCCCAGAAGAGTTGAAGCTGTTATAGCTGCAAAGGGCGGGGCCAACTCAATATTGAACCCTACGGACTAAGACTGGGGGCCATTAAAGTTCATGTGCGTGTAAAGGCAGGCCGACCAATATTTTAGCAATATAGTGTGTGTGTGTGTCTGTGTGTGTCTGTGTGTGTCTGTGTGTGTGTGTCTGTGTGTGTGTACAGGCCATTGGCAACTTAAAATCCGCTTTGTTCATCAGCAAACTGAGAAGTGACGAGCTCTGTCTTCAGATTCAGTTTAAGCCAGACAGGTAGATCTTCCCATCAGTAAAATACAGTCTTACACGAATGACTTTCAGCATCCCAGGAACAGCATACAAAGTATTTCAAAGTCTCTCTTAAAGGCAAGTTCACCCAGCATGTGAAAGTCAGATTATCAAGACTACCAGGCAGCATCCAGGTCTCCTCACTACAGACAGCAAAACTGCCATCAACCAGTCTCTGACCAGCTGCTTAATAAACAGACCCGACAGGGAAGTACCTGCCCTCCACAATTAACTCCCTCCTAAATCTGCCCCAGGCTGCCTCTCTACATATCTACAGGACCCCTATAAAAAGAGGAGTGCTACTATGGGTAGGAGGAGAACTAGGAAAAACCAAAGTCTTGAAGGCCATGGAAGTGGAGTTTTTTTTTGAGGAGGAGTGGGTTGTCAACTGTATCAAAAACAACAAGATGGTTGCTGTCAGTGACGTAGTGGCTCAGATGGCTGTTTAGGGGTAAGTGGGAGCAAGGAGATGGGTTGTTCAGGCTGGTGGAGCCCCGTGAGGGTGTTTTAGGCATGGGGGTGACCAGTGCACACGTTAGATGGAAGGGGAAGGTGCCAGTAGAGACAGATAGTTTGCAGATGCGAATTAGAGAGCATAGAATAGAGTAAGAGGGGACGGTAGTAGTTGTGAATGGGATCTAGGGGACAGGTAGTATGTGATGTGGGCAGGAGTTTGGCAAAATATTTTTTTTTGTAAAGGTGAACTGTACAGGAACCTATCTGAGCACCTTTGTTTCCCCAATGCTGACAGTCTTGACAGAGTTGAGTGGTGAGCTTTCTCTTTTTCTCCAAAAATTTTATGAAACTTCATTTCAGGTCCTTGCCAGGTTTGTTCTGTGGATACCAAAAAACACCATTCTAGTAACCTAAAGCACTAAGTTTGCTTGCTATAGTCATTAGTCCCAGTGTTATAAAAAAAAATCCAGTATCTGAAAATAACAGCTCTGGCTGCAACACCCACCTCCTCTCAGGCCCTGTCCTCTGCAGTATTACCATTCTGTCACTAGATATACTAAGTCTTCCTGGTTGAGTGACATCCAGCATCGTTTATCCCTAAATACTGAGGACATCCTGTGAGTGCAGATCACTATGGACCCACACCCAGAGAGGGCATCACAGCGGAACCCTGGCCTCATACACAGTGATATGAAGAGTGGTGCAGACCTCATCATGCCAGCGGTGCTCTCTGCATTATTGAAGACAACTCAGCAATAGAGAAGAGGACCCTTTCTATTATGTGACTAGCTTGAAGATCTCCAAGGGACTAGGGAGGCTGTTGGGAGATAGAAAAGCGCTCACGTTGGGATATTAAGTATACCATAATATTCTACAACTTGATTTCTGGCCTTTCACGATGTAACAGTTGCAGTCATGATGTAATGTTAACAGATGCAAAGAGTGACATTTTCCAAGGATAGGGAATATACATCTGGAAAAAGCAGTCTATGTGTGTGACATTTTATCACGCAGTACGTCACCTAAACCACCCAGGTTGTAACATTTCTGTCTTGGAGAAATTTGATGAGCTATACATTTTACCTCAGAACAGATACAGAGAATAGTAAATCACTGATGGTATTAATAGCGTGAACCGGACACCCTGAAGTTTTCCAGTTTGGTGGTATACATTAAATATGCATTAACTCCTGATGGTCAGAAGGGCTCAGAGAAGACAGCACTGTTTTTAGCTCCTGCGAGTTTGTATTATACCAAATTTGCCAGGAAGGGCTGAGCCTTCTCAAGCATTTCATTCCATGACATGTGCTTGTCTATGGCAGCTGCACAACCCCCTGACCTGCACTTTTCCTGACCTGAGGGATTAGACTGAGCATGTACTTCTAGGGACTGGGAAGGGTACAAGTAACTTATTTGCCAATATTCCAACTTTTATTAAATGCAATAATATTTTATGAACTATTGGAATTTTCTTTAATACAATAAAAAGAGTATCAAATAATGCATTCATTAATATAATTCTTTGGCTATTTATGTAATTTATGAAGATATTGAACTTTAACATTGTACAAAGATCATTTCTGTACAGCAATGTCCAAAGCCATTTATCTTTTTGCCCTAAATAATAGGCTGTCGTAGTTTGATGCACTTTCCCTTAGTAAAGTGAATAAAATGATAATACAATAACAAATGGTCAAACTAGGTGGATCACTGGGTATTTATCTCCAAAGGTGATGTCTGATTCTAAGGCAGTTTGTGTGCGTATATTGGTTGAATAAAATACTTTTTGTATTTTGATTTACTTCAAATTATTTATTTTTTACTGTGGACACAGAATTGGATTTTTGTTATAATATTCACAAGTATCAGAATGCCATTATTTACCACTGTTCTGGTGCATCCAGAATTAGTGAGTCATTATTTTGAAACCCCAAGTGTGACTATGTCATTGATTTGAACCTCCAAGACTTAGTGTATCCCTGTCCTAGGATCTCCCAATGTCCGTGTATAATTATTTTAGGACATCCAGGTTTCAGTAGGTCTAGGGCTCCAAGTGTCTGTGTCATTGGCCCAGGACTCTGAGTGTCACTGTTCAAGATGAGGTGGGCACAAGGCACTGGATATAAATCTTCTATCAATAAAAATGAAGTCCTTAGTGGAACCAAATAGTTAAGGTTTGGCGGCTTTCCATAAAGTAGTGGCCCCTCAAAAATAGGGGTCATTCTGAGTAGTCTATATGCAGTTGTACCAGAATAGCACCAAACAGACAATTCAACAGTCCACAAATTATATATTAGTTCAGTAACTGACAATGGAAAGGACAGACATACAATGTGTTTCAGAGGCCCAACGAGCTTCCTCAGACCTTAATTATAATGAATGATTTAAGGACACCAGGGTTTAATTGTTTACTGTATGAAAATTCAGATGTGAGTAGGACAAGTGGATCAAAGAATTAGCAATTTACTGATTCTTTGATCCACTGATCCTGCTCACATCTGAGTTTTCATACAGTAAACATCCAAAACCTGGTGACCGTGCAACGTTTGAGTTTTTAAATCCATTCATTATACTTAATCCCTGAGGAAGGGGGAGATCTTTGGGTCCCTGAAATGGATTGGATGTTTTTTTTGTCCTTTCTATGGTCACTTGCTGAACTAATAAATAATTTCTGGATATTTAGGTTGTTTTGCACTATTTCTGGTGTAACTGTACTATGTGTCAGTGTGTCAAAGGTCTAGGGCTCCAAGTGTCAATGTGTGGTTGGTCTAGGGCTCCAAGTATCAGTGTTTCATTGGTCTAGGGTTCCAGGTATCTGTGTCATTGGTCTGGCACCTGCAAACTTCAGTGTAATATTGTTATGAGACTCCCAAATATCACTGTGTCATTGTTTCAAAATTTGTAGCAGATTTTGTATGACCAGAAACATACAAACACAAACAATCATTAGACCAGTGTTTCTCAATTTTTTTTCAGTCAAGGCACCCTTTAAAATTATGGACAGTCTTGAGGCACCCCATTCTAAAATGTGAAAAACTATTCTAATTGTTTTATATAAAGCAGCAACATCCACACATGTAGGACACCCAACATTAGAGGTGACTTACTTTTCCAAAGCAAATACACTTTTGCACACTGGTACTGAATGGTATTCCAGTGTTTTCTCTTCTACCTCAGTTTTTCTCCATCACTGAGCTAATGTGACCCTGTGGGCACTGATGGAGAAGGGCAGGGGAGAGCCAAACTAGGATGCTGTGCAAGCAGTTGACATCCTCCTTATCAACTGATGATGTCATTGGTTGTCAGGATGCCGATGGCTAGAAGGTTGTAATGGTGCACAATGACAACCTGTGGTTTTGTGTAACTAAAAGGCAGGCTTGTTCCACCCGTTGGCTTGTATACAAGTTTTGGGCAATTTTTAGACATTTTGCCAAGGCACCCCTGAAGAAATCTCAAGGCATCCTAGTTGAGAAAGGCTGCATTAGACCATGCATTAGTTTCGTATGAAGAATATACTAGCTTTAGATAACCATGAGAAATTTTTATTGAAAAATATAATTGCCGTGTTTTAATTCTTATAGAAGCCGGGCAAAACAGTTGATGCCATTATTCACGACCTTCATTCACAGAGGGAAAGAGACGTGTTTCGTGATTCAGACAGGTAATCTTGATCGTTTGGGCACAAGAACTAATTCTAAAGTTGAAATTTATTTTTTTAAGCATTTCGCTCCTTGATGTGTTTATTCTTACTGACAGATACAGAAATGAAAGGACGAGATCACGTAGTCCAGTGAGCCGCTCTCTTTCTCCGAGGTCCCACACTCCCAGCTTCACATCTTGCAGTTCTTCACACAGTCCCTTAGGACCTTCCAGAGCAGAATGGGGGAATGGCAGGGAGTCTTGGGATCAACAGAACTATGGCAGATG